TAACTAGTTAGACAATCAGAGCAATAAATTATTTATTGTCTTTTCCATCAAGTTTACCCATATCAACATAAATCAGATCTATTGATTCTGATTCTCTAACCACATATTTTATGGGTCATTTTGCTTGGATACAAAATTTTTTATTTATCTCAAGCATTCGAGAATAATATGAATGTGACTTTAGATATTCTAATTCTTTACAAGGACACACACGTCCCAAAAAGAATCCATCTTAGATCGTCTATCACAGACATGCCTTGGGGCACTAGTATCCAACAACCATTCTCCAGAGTTACCATTAAGGCTAACCTCTGTCATCACCTAAGCGATTATTATTGCCAAATCCTCTTCTTTAATCAAGTTAACACAATACTATGTTAAACTTGCTCTAACACTTTCGTGTCATATGACCTAGTTTTTCTCAAATTTAATTGAGAAACATAGCGTCATTCTTAGAGGATTGAGTGGCAATCTTATGGTTACCACGAAAGGTATCATTCTATTTGGTGTGGATATGGTTCGGCTTGATGCTCTCATTCTTGAAACTTTAATGTTTCAGAGCAGTCTAAGTGGTTCGTGTAGTACTGATAATAGTACTTCTTGCAATATCGTTATTATGGGTAATAACCCATTCTATTCCCATATATTCTTCAAAATAAATATGGGCATACAACCCATTTCCATAGCATATGACTATACAATACACATTCATATATACGACAGAGTATGAATTTATGTAATCAAAATTACTCTACTTCACAACATGTACAGAAAATTGTACTCAAATCATCAAGAAATCACATCTCAATGTCAATATAATCAATGCATCGATCCTAGCTTTCCTTTCAACATTCATTAGGTTTCTCAATTCCATGCATAAAATTAATAGGCATGAATTCTAATTTTATCATTCATTAATGACTCAGGAGATAGGTTTTAGTTCTTACCTCTTTTTTGAGAAACCATTGTCGTTTCAATAAAAGAGAAACCATTGTCGTTTCAAGCAGAAAAACTAGCCCACGTATAGCTCCCTTGAGTCTCACCCTTCTCGGCTTCTTGGGCCACTACTGAAGTGGCTTTCATTAATTTGGCCCGGGACCAGAACTGATGGAAAGGAAGCTTCTTGTTGGTTTACTCGCTCAAAATTAGGTTCCCTGCTTCTTCCTTTTCATCTCTCGTATCCTTGCAATAAAGCTTCTAATCCAAAGTAAACCCAGGCAGTAAGACAAACCAAATGAATCAATTGAAAAACAAACGCCGGGCTTCTCAAATTTGAATTATGGAAATTCCGTTGAACTAATTCCCAACTTGTTGACGAATTAATCATTCAGCGCATTCGGCCGCAGGTTGTGTAATTTAATTACAACCCGGTACCATCATTTCAGCAACAACGGCTCACGGAATCCGAGAGAATACTGGAACTCTTTTATCCCGTCGCCGCCGCCGGAACTCGTTTATCCCACCGCCGCCGCCGGAGGCCATCTGCGGCTACTTTTTCTTTGCCCGCTGTTCCTGCTTCCCAAGCGTCATCGTCGCGAGGTTCTGGTCGTCGCCGGTACTCGTCGCCATGACTGCAATCGGAGTCTAGAACTCGCCGCTCTGGATCCCGGCCGATGTAGCTTGCGGAGCACAGTAATAAGATCAATTTTTCTTTGGTGGTTTAATTGGACCGAGCATTCTTTTATTTACATGGTCCAGAAACAAATCTTCCCTCTGCTGCCAGCTCTTTCAGCTCCCTCAAAAACCAATCTTCAAAATTCCCAGAGTGTTATTTGTAGTGATTGTAGCAGGCGAGCAGCTATGCTCGAAAGGATATAATTATCTCCGAAGCAGTATTGGGGGCAACCGGGCATATCATACTTTTGGCCCGATCGAGCGAGCGAACGTAAAGAAAGCTCGGTGGCGATCAAATTCGTTTCAGCCATAATCGATTCCCCTGTTAGTCAAAACAACACCGAACGTTTTAAAATTGTTAGAAATCGAACAGGAAAAATCTAGGGTTATCGATCTGGCTGAGTCGCGGACTAGGTCGCTCTCTTTAAGACGTTCGCGGCACTGCCTCGTATTGCGCACAACAGATTATCAGTCGGTCGCCTCCAGGATAAAACAGCCATTCTAATTTTGATGCTCATCGGTTTTGTGCGAAAAACCGGAGCTCTATGAACTCACTCTCTTTCGTGTTTCTGCTCTCTGAGGTGTGTTAAGAGGGTCTGGGGCGTCCCCTATTTATAGGAGCAGAAAACCCAGAATATTCCCTCTATCTTTGGGAATAGGTTATATTTTAATTATGAGCAGTAATTATCTCCTTAATTAAAATATGACTTATTCCTAAAGAAAGAGGGAATATTCTGGGTTTTCTGCTCCTATAAATAGGGGACGCCCCAGACCCTCTAAGCACACCTCAGAGAGCAGAAACACGAAAGAGAGTGAGTTCATAGAGCTCCGGTTTTTCGCACAAAACCGATGAGCATCAAAATTAGAATGACTGTTTTATCCTGGAGGCGACCGGCTGATAATCTGCTGTGCGCAATACGAGGCAGTGCCGCGAACGTCTTAAAGAGAGCGACCTAGTCCGCGACTCAACCAAATCGGTAACCCTAGATTTTTCCTGTTCGATTTCTAACACCTCCCAACTCCATCATCAGTACTGCTGACATTATTTAGAATCATAATCACCATCGGGACAACATCATCATCATCTCCGCCCCATTATCGCCGATTTTCCTTAATTTGATTTGATTATGTCAATTGTTTTTAGGTTGTAAGTACAACACACATGAGTTAAGGTTGTCATCATCAGCATTCAGCATCATCAGCTTATTAATTAATTAATTTCTCCTAGCCAGCTAGCTAGCTAGTTGTGGGGTTTTAACTTTAATTTTGTTGCGTCAGGTCCCTGTAAGCAGAAGCGACATTGCTGCCGTGGAACCAGGATTATATACTAATATGGATTCCCGTAATTCATTACCTTAATTAGTATATGTATACGAGCCAGTAATGCCAACCTACCACATTTGTTGTGCCCCAAAATTAAGAAATCATGTACGGAATTTGATCTTCCAAAATCCTAATACTAACATGAATTCCACTATAGCTAATTAAGCTGAATATATTATGAGGAAAATACAAAAGGAGAATACTGACGGAAAATGGGATGAACACGAATAGAAAGCCACGACTCAGTTGGCAACCTAAAAACCGGAAAGTAGCTAGCCAGCCAGCCAGCCGGCGAGGAGAGTGGCAGTTGATTCATTGGTTAGCTTTTGTTGAACGTGATGATGGGTGGATACAACTTGGATGTCACTAAAGATCTAACTTCACCATCCCACACATTTGTTCCTACCTACCTCATTATTTGCGCACAAGATATTGAATAATATGTCAAAATTTACAATTACTTAGATGGAAGAAAACGAATGTGAGGATCTAGCTACAAGAGATTAGTTGGAAGGTTATTACAACATATATATAACTGTTAAGTGATTTGGAGTTTGGAACATCCAATAATATATTCTGCAGATGTAAGTTATCAATGTTCGTTAACAAATTTAAACACTAAGTCTTATGAACAATCATGTACAATACGGGTCGTATCATCAAGTTTAGCAAGTTTCTCATTCGAAGTCGGAAGAAGACACGTTTCTTTAGCAAATACCAGATATTGGAATTCCTACAAGCCACAACCAAGATGTACATGTGTGTGCGTGTGGGTGCAAGTTTGATGCATGCCTTTCATCTCTTCATATCTTGCAACTTTGTTTCGATCGACGATACTTTTTGAAATACCTTTTGATGGGTTTAAAAACTATGTTCATAGAATTTGAACCGGCGAGGAGCTGAATCTTACCGGCTACTTTATGTTCTAAATTTATTACAAATTTCACATGATTTTGAGGGTTAAGAGGGGCTGTATCATCTCTTGACGTGACGTGACTCTAATTATGTTTTGTACTTATTTGTATATTTATTGTGGACATTTTCTATTTTGAATGTTATTCTTGCTTCTTCCCTATGTAAATTTACTCATTCATTTAAGTTCCCGCATCTTAGAGGGAAGGGATCGTAAGACTTACTGACATCTGTTGTGAATTTGTGATCCAGAAGTGAAGGTGATGGCAAACATAAGCTAGATGAGCAGGCCATGACACAGTACTCGATCGGCCATGTCATCAGCTTGCCTAGCTAGCTAGGAGTTTGTTGACATAAAAGTGAAGTGAAGTGAAGCAACAAGTTGAAGTTGATATTAGTTTGTAGAAGTTGATAATTGACACAAGAAGTTACATATATAGATGTGGATGGTCGATCCAATGTCACTTGCAACTACGTACTACTTCCAAATTAAAGGAAGGTTGGTTCAGTGCTCCAATAACCACATGCATAAACTATTTTCATGGAGACATAAATGCATATGTTATGAGCAGTGATGTCTAGAATTCAACTTCACTTGTCCTCATGGACAATTGTGCTTAATCCTACGAATCATCATGCTTTCGTAAACTGTTAAATCGTATGTTTTATATATGCATGCTTGTTGGATGCACGCGGTAGCAATTTATAACAGTTGTAATTACATATATTCGGTGACTGTGAATTACACTAACTAGGATATACTAAGTTATTAGGAAGCCGTTTGACGAAACAGTTTCAGTATTCACCATGCTCCTCCAGACGTACACTATAAATAGGCAAGGCTGCATTTCATTTCCCAAACCCCACCAAATTAAAACCGTACCCCTTCCAAGTTCCAACTGATCTCCATCTTAATTAGTTTTGCTGCCATGGCGGCCGCTCCAACTCCACTCATCAACTCCCTCTTCCTCTCCTTAATCACCCTACTACAGGCCGCCTTGATCACATTCCCAACCCAAACCCAATCACTACGTCCGGGTCCGGCGCCTTCCACACCGCCGGCCGCCTCCCTCGTCCTCAGCCTCAGCCTCAGCCTCTCCAAAACCTCCCTCCCACCTCCCAAAAAACGAACACCAACCCAAACTTCCGACATGGTGGAGCCCTTGAGAGGAGTCCGTGACGGCTACCTGATCCCGCTGAACTTGGGAACTCCGCCGCAGCCGGTCCAACTCTACATGGACACCGGCAGCGACCTCACTTGGGCACCCTGCGGCAACCTCACCTTCTCCTGCATTGACTGCGACGAGGCCGGCATCACCCCCAAGACCTTCTCCCCTTCCCTCTCCTCCACTTGCTACCGCGACCCCTGCGGCAGCCGCTTCTGCTCCGACGTCCACAGCTCCGACAACTCCCTCGACCCCTGCACCATCTCCGGCTGCTCCCTGCCCACCCTCCTCACCTCCGTCTGCCCCCGCCCCTGCCCTTCCTTCGCCTACACCTACGGCGGCGGAGGGGCGGTCACGGGCACCCTCACCCGGGACACCCTCCACGTCAGCGGTGGTGGGGTGGTGCCGAGGTTCTGCTTCGGATGCGTGGGCTCCACGTACAGGGAGCCCATCGGGATAGCAGGGTTCGGGAGGGGTCCGCTCTCCCTGCCATCCCAGCTGGGGTTTGGCAGGACAGGCTTCTCCCACTGTTTCTTGCCCTTCAAGTATGCCAACAATTCCACCAGCCTGTTGCTTGTCGGGGAAGCATCCCTTTCCTACCGGGAAGGGATGCACTTCACTCCCATGCTCACCTCCCCCCTCTACCCTAACTACTACTACGTCGGCCTAGAGGCCCTCACCGTCGTCGGGACCACCACCACGGCCGAGACTCCCACGAGTTTGAGGGAGTTCGACTCCCAAGGGAACGGTGGGATGTTGATGGACTCCGGTACCACGTACACTCACCTTCCCGAGCCCTACTATTCGGATCTCCTGTCCACGCTCCGGTCCGCGATCGTCTACCCCAGAGCTGCCGACGTGGAGACCAAGACGGGCTTCGACCTCTGCTACAGAGTCCCGTCGGTGGCGGTGGGGTTTCCCGTGGTGACGTTTCGTTTTCTCAACAATGTGAGCGTGGTGCTGGGGGAGGAGAGTCTGTTCTACGCTATGGCGGCGGCCAGCAACGGGACGGTGGTCAAGTGCATGCTGATGCAGAGCATGGAGGAGGAAGGGGAGGAAGGGCCGGCGGGGGTGTTTGGGAGCTTCCAGCAGCAGAATCTGGAGGTGGTTTATGATTTGGGGAACCAGAGGATCGGCTTCCGGGGAATGGATTGTGCTTCCGCTGCTGCTCCTCGACCTCGCGGGCTTGGTGGCCGGAAATGAAAAGTGCCGTGAGGTTGCTTGGAAGGATTGGCAGTTTCTTTCTGTTACCCAATAAAGATTTTGCTTCTTTCTTCTCTCTCTTTTTTTTTTTTCTGCTGGATTCGCTGCTTTTCCTTTTTGTTCGCATTCTAATGAATTACTTCATAGTCTGATCGTGGGCTCACAAAGATGAGCTGTTCGACAGTACTTTTGTCGCTTGGGTTGGGTGGGAACTGGGAACTGCAACTGCGAGAGGGGAAATAAATTTGGAGTTTTCCTCTTTTCGAATCACTTCCCTTTCCATTTCTGACTCGAATCCTTATTCCTCTTTCTTAAAGCATTTGGTAGATCTCGATCTTGAGCATGTCTGCGATTCAGAACCCGCGTCAGTACTACTTCCTGCTGTAATCACAACGAGGCTACTGCATATATATATATATAACAAAAACAAGAGAAATTATAATGACACTACACAGAGGAAGCCACACCAGAATCAGTCTGATTCCATTCTTTCACCGAGTCTGCAAATCAAGCATTCATGTACAAATCTTAGCACTCGCCATCCAACCGACCAACCAATCATCGGGATTACATTACCATTCGGCATTCACATGCACAAGATGAGCTACTCAGAAGGTAGCTATTGGAGAAACACCAGCTTTTTAAGAACAGCAAGTGGCGCTTGCTGCCCTTTCCGCGGGTCTATCCGTGAGAACCATCCCAGAGGGGTTCTGTGCTGGCTGAACTCGCGGTAGTCTTTTAGCTGCAAGGAAGAAGACACGGTGCCAAACAATCAATAGAAAGAAAATTTTGCAATTTCAAGGAGATACAAGTTGTCAAAAGAATGCATCAAAAGCATATAAATAAACAACATAGCAAAATACTATGCAGGCGTCTCCTGTCCTTTTCCTAATAAAGTTCATCACCATTATCAAAAAAAAAAAAAAAAAAACAAACAAACTATGCAGCCACTGCAATAAGGTGCACAGTCATTTTCCAACTCTAGTTAATGAATTCGATCCTGAAAGCAAGGTACCTATTTCATAGAAAATGTCATTGACATTAGTTGCAGTTTTTGCTGAGGTTTCCATAAAGAAAAGGCCATTCTCCTGGGCATAGACTTGTGCCTCCTGCAATCCGAACCATGTTAATAATAAAATCATCCAGACAGAGAGGTATGCATGAGAGAAATAGTGGCAGGGGTTCAACAGGGTTAGACACTTGCCTCAGCTGCCACCTTCCTATCATCAAGCAAATCAGCCTTGTTCCCAGCCAGAGCCATAACCATATTTGGATTACCTTCAGAAAAAAGGATGAGATATATATTGTGAACAATTTGGAACATGAACAGGAACAGGAAAATTGTTTAACACACAGCAAATCGGTACAGAACCAATATAGATCATCATAGAGGCCAGAGCTGCATGCTGAAAAGACAAAGCTTCCTTACAGTCCGAATGATTTTCACATTCATGCTATATGACTAAGAGGTGCATCATGAACTCATCAATACAACAACATTTGAGAAAGATACGCTTAAGGGGATAGAACAATTCCTAACAAATATAACACTACCTTGTGCTTGCAGTTCTTGTACCCATTTCTTTGCCCTATCAAAGGAGGCCTACAAGAAAAGGTAGAGGTGAGACCGTGGTAACTGCTGATTTAGACACACACAACTGCAAATTCGGGATACAAATAAATGAATATGACATGTACCTAGGAGCACCAGAGGAAAATTAAAGATAAAGCATACACTATCAAGAATTTACCATGACTATTCAGCTGTACGTCCAATATCTTTTTACCAACAAGGCATATGCAATGCGCATAAAGCGTAAAAATCCAATTCCGGTAGATAGTGTCATTAATAATAGACTGCCACTCACCTGATTTGTAATGTCATACACAATGATTGCTGCTGCAGCTCCCCGATAGTACATGGGTGCAAGGCTGTGGTATCTCTCTTGACCTGCTGTGTCCCATATCTCAAACTTCACAGTAGCATCATTCACAGCCAGTGTTTGTGAAAAGAAGGCAGCACCGATTGTTGATTCCTAACAAAAAAAATTCAAGTTCAAACACCAACCAGGAGAGATGCAATGACTATGTTATGAACCTCCAAATCATTCCTTGGACCAACCTGAAACTCAACAAACTGCCCTTTGACAAATCGCAGAACAAGACTAGATTTTCCAGCACCAGGGTCGCCAAGGAGAACCTGGATCACATTAAACTTGGGTTAGGACACATATTTTGCAAGTGACCCAACCGAATACCACTAACAAGTTTAGATGCAGCTATATGCAAACTACTAAAGAAGCCTCATTGAGATTAGCTAGACAAAACTCAAGGTAAAGAAAGCAAGATTTGCTAACCCACGCGGCATATCAGATATTTGTAACACAAACTTTCTTAACGAAATGGCCATGAAAGTAGTAATAGAATGAGGCATTTCTAGTGCCGATTTGGAACTATGCTCAACAACAGTGAACTTCCGATCAAATAAGTAAAAGAACACAACCAGAGAAGCTGAAAAATGAAAGTCCACTGTTCTTCAATACATTTCTACGCAAATCAGATTACAAACTGACCCTGTGAGGTGAGAGAACAGTTCGAGAAATACGTCACATACTTAGTTATGTAAGTGGGCATGTAAGAAGGGAACGTTCAACAAGCTGTGAACATCCAGCAGCAGAGAACACTCCAACGAACTGAGTTCACCATAGTTGGCAAACTGGAAGGTAGAATTTTAGCAAGATATTTCAAGTTCAGCCAAAAAAGGAACCATGTTTCTAAACATTATAAGAATCGCATAAACCCATCAGGGTGAGCATTAAGAAAGCAAGCCAAGGAAAGCAATAGGAAGCCATTCGCCGCTGAAAGGGCCCTCAACAACGGAAGGGAAAGGCCAGCAAATTCATACCGACAAGGACATGCAGTACTGAAAACATCGCCAATCAAAAACAGGGAGGAGGGAAAGCTGGATGAGCTCCGATCAGAAATGTAAAAGGCTTAGCTAGCCAAGTCAATCAACGACAGAATTGACCTCCGAAATTGGAATGGAAAATTGGGCGACAAGGACGAGATCGAAAAGAGTTAAACCTAAACCCACATCTCAATTCAGTGATACCCCAAAAGAAGGGGGGAAAAACAGAGAGAGACCCCTCAAAAGCTATTGTTTCAGTCACGGCAAACGATCAGGGCTGCGGCCAGGATCGGGAGACGGCGAAGGGGGTTACCTCGCATTCGCAAAACCCACAATTGAAACACGGATGATAAGCAAAGAGGACAAGAAGAAGATGAGGAAGAGAGCTCACCAATTTAGCGTTGATGTTCTTGTTCCCGGTGGCAGCCATGAGTACTAGGTGGGTGGTGGGTTAATCGCGAATCGGACCGGAAAGATGTCGATCGATCAACTGAACTGTTGTTATTAAAGAAAAGAAAAGATCAACAGGAATTCACAGGCGAGGAAGGCCGGCGTTGATGAATTGAACGCGGCCTGGGCAACCAACACACGGAGGGAGACAGAGGCGGAGGAAGAGAAGGAAGCTTCTTCTTTAGTACTTTGGGTTTGATATCTCTTTTGTGTAAAGGAGACGAGACGAGATGAGGAGAAAACGATTGGTTTTGGTGTATTTTTGTTTCTTTCTTATCTGCTAATATTTATTTATTTATCCTGGAGGCTAGAAAAGTATTTATATAGCTTTTCTGCCACGTTTATGCCGCAACAAATCCACGTTTCGACGGCTCCGCCTCGCCGGTGTGTAAATGTGTACTCCGCCTCTGCGGTTCACCACTTTACCTACCGACGATTACTCACCGCGGTTGCAGAGGGGCTCTGGAGCAGGAATGGGCATCCGGTTCGGGTTACCAAAATAATGCTATTCGGTTCGGAATTTGGAGAAAAAATATGGATATTTTGGAAATAAGGATTCTTTCAACCGAATCGAATTTCCGGCCGAAAAACCGAAATATTATAATTGCAAGCTTCAAATTATGTTTGTAGTTGTTTTTAGACTTAAATATTTGAAATGTTTTATGACTTATGTGTTGAAAAGTTTGATTTTATTATTGATGATGCATATAATTGCATATTTATTATTTATGTTAGAGGTGAAAAATAATTTAAAAGCGAGAAGATACAAGTAGCCTCACAAATTTGGTTCGGTCGAAACCGAACCCATCGAATGCCCACCCCTACTCTCGAGGCTCCGGTTCCTTTCAGTAACATGGTTACTCGTAACTAAATCCCAGCCATCAAATTTAAGTGGATCCAGAAAATTCAGATTTATTAGTGGAAAATTAAAGACATTTTTATTTTCATTTGTTTTCTTAATCGACTCATATCTTCTTCATTTTAACTCGGATTTCAAAAAAAAAATTCACAGATGGAACGAGTTTGTTGTGCTCTTCAAAATGAGATCCATTTTCAATATTTTTTGAGAAAAAAATTGTCTAGTAAAAAATGGCTCAATTTTTTTTGTTTCAAAAATATATCAAAGTGAATATCATTTTGAAGAGCACAATTAATTTGATATAACTATGAAAAAAAATTAAATTCTGACGTAAAACGAGTGAGAAATCGTCCGTTAAAGATTAATAGGGAAAAAATTAAATGCTTTCCAGGAGAGAGAAAGGGCATTAATGTGGCGGGTGTTAATTGGGTTATGCATATTTACTCACCACAAAGTTATGCATAGGAATTTCTCCCGACTCTAGATCATGTAAGTCCAGAGATTATGAGATCATGTTCTATAAATAAAAATGTTAGCGGAAAATTTTTCATAAAAATTTAATAAAATATTAATCATTTCATAAAAATAATTATATTATTATTTAAAATTAAGTATTGAAATTATCAAAATAGAAAGACGAAATAAAAAATCATTTACTTGAGAGATTGAATAAAAAAATTAAAGTAAAAAGAATTCAAATAGTAAATAAATTGACAAATAATCAATTGACTTGACTTATCATATTTATGATGAGAACGGAGTCGAAGAGAATAATATAGAAGAATCAAAGAGTAGATAAATTGACAAATAATTAATTAAATTAACTCATCTTAATAGGTTATGAGAACTTAATTGAGTCGAAGAGGAAAAAAATTCAATAGGAGAAACAAATAATAGAGAAAATGGATATTAAATAGGAGAAAGTGATAAATTTTAGTAAAAAATGAAGTATGTTAGATCATCTTCATCCTTAATTATCAATTTGTAAATGTAGTCCCTACAAACACATCATCAAATTTAACAATTTTCACCAAGCAAGTTCTACCAACATCCCTAAAGTGTGTTAGCAATTTTCAAAGTTGGTCACACTTATTATTTATACAGGAAAACTTCTCAATTGAAAAGTTAATAAGCATGAAAATAGAAAAAGAAAATAATTATCAATGTGAAAACCAAATCGGAGTATGAACAGGTATAGTCATAGGCTCACACTTTAATGGTTTAACCACAAGTAAACTATTAATGAACCATTTCTTATAAACAAGAATATTATAAGTAGAAGAAACATAATATATACATTAAACCAATACTTACTAGACAATTTAATGACCATAATAAAATTTGCTTTGCATGTATCGCTTAGTAATTTGCCTTAGTATATATATAAATATAATCATTATATCCACAACTTTTGAAATACACGAAATAGTCACTTTTGATCATCTCTTTAATGATGTCTCTTAACAGTATGACTGGAGAAAAATACCTTAATTCCCAAATCTCTTATTTGGATCCCCAATCGCTAAACTGAAAAAGAAGGTCTCGGAAGCTTGGTCGATAGTTGAAAAATGACGAGAAAGAGGGCAAGAAGGCTGTTGGGAAGAAGCCGACCGTGGCCTCGAAGAAGAAGAAGAAGAAGAAGAAGAAGGCATCGGCGAGGGCAATTAAAGAGGAGATGGTGTCTCCAGTGGCGGCAGAGACCGATGGGTCGAGAAGGAAGGATGTGAAGTCGTAGCGCATTTTTCCCTCCAATTCCTCAAAATCGTCGCGGCTGCGGTTATTCTTGTGTCCGGTGAAGCCTGATGTAACATCCCATTTCGGCTAAACCCATATTTCGATCGCTAGAAAGTTCGCGATTTAAAATCGAGCGTTTTGATAGTATTTCGACGAAAATTGGATTATCGATCGATCGGATAAGTATACGTATTAATTATATATATTATATTATTCCATCATCATCTTCATTTTCCATTTACGGACCGAGAGCAGAGGACGCTCAGGGGAAGCGAGGGGGTAAATCTCAGGCACAATTCTTGAGCATAAGTGATCCAAAAATCCCGTAAGTAATGCCTAATTCATCTATACATCGTGATTTATCGATTTAGAGCTTTAAATCGAGTTTTTGGTTCAGGAATTTATTGAATTCCCGACAAGCCAAATTAGGGTTTCGGAGTATCTGGAAGCCTGATTGAGCCCAAATTTCATATACGAGCTTCCTGCAGCGAGGTAATCAATCCTCTAGTTCTAATCCATGAATTTCGGCTATTATTTAGGTAGGAGCCAAGATCGCTGAATTTAGCCTAGGCCAGGGTTTGATGTGTTTTTATCGAGAATTTGATCCAGAGCCTAGAACTAACATGGACGGGGACACTGCAGGGGATATTAGGACAATCTCGGATTGTGATTCCAGGTTTGTTTGAGAAAGTGAAGTTGTGGTACGGGAGGCTAGAACCGGTGTTTGAACTACCAGAACTGGTGAGGGATTAGCACGGCATACCGGGTTTGTCGTATCACGATAATTATATTGATGCTTAGAATTGACCTAGGTGAACTAGAATGGCATGATTAGGGGTGTATGGACTTTTCTACTATATGATGAACCATGGATTGTTGTATGATATTATTGACTTGCCCTAATCGATATGGACCTTGTTTATGCTGATGATTGTCTATATGTTGCAAATTGTGGGCTTGACTGTTAATATGCTTTATGATGGTTCGAGAAGGTGATTAGGTATGATTTTTCATGATTGTTGTATTTGGATGCACAAGTGGGAAAATATATATTCCATGGTGATATTATGATGTTTAAGGAGGATGACTTGCACGAGGGTTTATCCCGAGGAAGTGCAATTATACGACTCCTGATTTACCTATGTTGAGCTAATTATGGCCAGGTCAGGTACATGTGCAAATAATGAATTGTGATTAAGCAAGATGAGATATGAATCATGTATAAGGATACCAAATATGAGTGTTGTGGTCTCATGGTCAACTATATAGTAATTAGGTCTCCCTATGTTATTACTCTATTATGATATATATGATAGTCACACCTCTCATGTGGTGGTGACTGAATAAATCTTACGAGATATGACCACACCCAGAGCGGTGTCGGGGTATGACTACACCCATAGTGGTGTGGGGTATGTATGACCACATCCGACGGGATGTTGGGGTATGTATGACTACATCCGACGGGATGTGGGGTATGTTTCCCGGGAGAGTTATTAGCATGGGAGTAGCCAGGCGCCTATAAGTAAAACATGATAAGATGCATATGCATAAGTCAAGGTGGTTGAGTCTTTTGCTTATTGGGATGTCGGATGCCTGAGGTCTGATCCTATTGCTTTGGCTTGTTTGCTAGATGTATGGTAGGGGTATGCTTTGTTATGAACTCACGATGCTAATTGCTATGATTATCTCACTCAGCTATGAGCTGACCCTCTTTATCCTTTTTCTCTGCTTATGCCATGTGTAAGCAGATCATCATCATCAGCAGCAGTAGATAGGTGTATAGGTGGGAGCTGAGCAAGAGTTGAAGGCAAGATAAGGTATGGTCTTCAACTATTCTGTGCTTGGACTACTACTCGGGATTTTGGCCAGTGATCCGCACCTTTTTGTAAAAATGTTTTGAGAATGTTTTTCATGTGCATACTAGCTTCTGATGTAGTGTGAGATATCCACAGGTGTGGAAAGTTGATGATATGTGTATATTTGTATAATTGTGTAAGTTTTGATGACTATGGCATGTATAAGTATGGTATGCATTTGTGGAGTATGAAAATTGTGACTATGGCTATGAAAGCCAATGTATATGGTTGTGAGTATATATGTATGTCTATGAATGCATATATTCATATAAATTATTTTGCAGGTCTAGTTGCAAGAACTGTTAGCCCACTACGCGAGTAATTCATGTCGAAATTTTATTTTGGTAAATTTTGATAATTAATGTAACACCCGAGATTATTTCCGCTGTAATTGTATGAACAATACGATTAGGTAATACGTATAGGGTAGGGTGTTACACCTGATTTGTCAAAGTCAATTGGAGTGATTCATCGCCTTTCGTCTCAAACAGAATCCTGAGAAGAAATCGAGGACAGGGCCGCAATTGCTTCATGTATTTCAAAAGTTTGGAATGGAATTAATTAGAACAGGGTTACGACTATTCTTCGTGTATTTCAAAAGTCTATAACGAAAATGGCTAGTTTGTGAAACAACCATCAAAGAAATGGCTAGTTTGTCAAACAACCATCAAAATTTTGGCTATTTCATGGATTTCGAAAGTTATGCCTATAACTATCACAGACTTGAAAGTTGTTGATATGGAAGTGCATGTATTTTGCCAAAATATAAATTATGACGTGGAATCTACATTGCAAGTGAGACTGAGTTGTCGTTGACGTGTGCG